ACTCAGAGACAACATTTTATGTCCTTTCTTCAGCATGGGATTTTTGACACCAAGGAACCTGCTACAGAACCATCTGCTGTATGGCCACATTGTGGTCCTTGATTCTGATGATGAAAGATATCTGTTCCTCCCTAATGCCACAAAGTCAAACCTCCTTGCCATTTTGAGCAGAAACTCTTCTCTTCCTCTTCTCCAGGTGATCAGTCTATCCCTGAAAAAAAAATAAATCAGGAAAATATGGTAGGCATATCTATTAGCAAAGGGTACCTCCAAGCCTGTGAGGCAGATCTCCTGGTCAGGACAATGTGAGAGCACTGCAGACACGGGGAGTCAATGGAGGTGTGTGGGGCACAAAGAACAGAATGTGTTAGCTGAAGTCCAGCCATCATTCTTATTGCCTTGTTGGCTCAGTCTTTCTGAAGCAGGTTCTTTGACCACCTCTTTTGAACAAGACTTAGATTTGTACCTGATGTGGGGACAAATTCTTTAGTAAGTTTCAAAATGTTGTAAGCTGGTGTAAACATGTTGGTATTTTTGAAACTGTGTTAAGAGATAGGCAAATGGTAGGCCTAATTATATATGGGTTAAATAATACATTTTGCTTCATCATCTTATTTGTAGAGCTCCTGGGAAAGTAACAGGAGATGCATATTTGAGGAGACAGAGCTAAAATTTCTGTTTTACGTGAAAATGTATTATTTTTTGATTCCTTTCTTTGCAATATTTCTGTTATTAGCCAAAATCTCTAGAGTAGATTTTTTTTGTTTATTTTTTTAATTTTTTTTTTTCTGTGACTGTATTCTGGCATGTTCTTTCATTTGTTCTAGTAATCCTTCCATCCCTACTAAAGGCATGAGTCTTTCTGGCACCCATCCTTTTCATTCGTCAACAATGAAAATGAACAATGAAAATAAAAAAGTTTAACTTCTGTAAGCATTTTCTAGTTACAGTAGTGGAAAAGCTAATTGGACTATAGTGATGTGATACACTTCACTCTGCATCAGTCATTTTTTTTGAGAGTTCTTCTTGAAAGTCTCTGTGTTAGTGTTTCAACTAAATATAAGCCAAGGATGAAATATCCTTTAATATCAGGTATTACTCGGGCAGCATGCAGAGTTTTGACTGAGAAAGAATTGTACGAATTAAACAGTTTAGATGGTTTATGCAAATAACTTCAGGGTTCTCAGCCTTCTGAATGCATTAACAGAATTTTCATGTGGAATATTACTCTGATATATATATATATGCTTTAGTACAGATAAACATTGTTATAATGTTTATCTGTAAGTGTCATCCCAGAACAGTGAGGAGAAGGATGTGATTTCTTCATTATTGACTGGGAAAATTATAGTTCAGTTAAACATCTTTTCCTGTTTTGAGGTATCAAATCTCCTTCAAATATAATACTTTATTTTAACGGGCAAATATTATCATTGCTAGTATGGATCTTAAACTCCTGTGCTAGGTATTAAGTTCTGGCAATGAGAAAATCCACATGTACCTAATGTTACTTATTATGCAAAACTCTGATTTCAAGGAGTCTTTGCAGACCAGAAGTATGTGTTGTTATTCAGATACTATTCACTGCCTTCTCTTTGTAGTGCTAGGTATTGTTTTCTTGAATTTATCACAATTTTATCAGATTCCTAATTCATGTGGTATTAATTACACTCTTTTTCCCCTTCACTTCTGATACAAATTGTATCTAATTTCTGACACCCACACTAAGATCTCAAATGGCAGGCACCATTTTTTTTAATAAATTAAATGATTAATGGCTCTCAATGTGGAAGCCAAACCTTTGACTTAGGTGTGGCTGCAGCAGAAGCATCTTCTTTGCATGGAATGTTCCAACTCGACTGGTGTTTGGGATCTTTATGTGTGTTTTCATGGCAAGGCCCCAGCCCTCTGAAAAATCTGCCACAATGACTCAATATTATGACAGAAGGTAGAGTCATTGTATGTTACTTAAAGGGCGTTTAGTTTAATTTGTTCTTGATTATGCATAAAACTACTTAATAATGCTATGAAAATTGATATAAAATATATTTATAATACATTAGAAATAGCTTCTACAGAAGTCATATATTTGCTCTGTAGCCTTAAAAAAAATGGAAATGTTTGCCATGATGGACAGTGCTTTTAAATCTAGTGCTTGCTTCAGCTACGACAATTAAATAAATATGTATTAGAGGACACTCATCACAACTGCAATTTCAACAGCTATTTTGAATTAGTGGACAGGTATCTGCAAGCTTACAGCATGTAAAAATGGCATTTATTTCTATCTGAAACTGCAATATTTCCCACTATTAAACAAAAGGAACAGTATGGCAATCAGTGATTTCCTGAGCCATGTTTTTTGGGATGCACTTTTCTCAGGCTAAAAAAATTCTTTTACTGAGCCCTGGGAGGTAAACTCCTTTTCCTGTGGCTTTGCAATACATCCCTCTACTACTTGTGAAGATGCTAGGGTGATCTGCAGAGGGGGAGGCCCCAACCCCTGGCAGCATGATCTTGCTGTGGCTCCTGCCAGGTGCTTTTGCATTCAAGTGATAATGTTTTTTCCCTTTCATAAACCATCAGTGGACTTCTCTCAGTCAGCTGTGGAGCCTTCTGTCTACTTTAAAAAACCAAAGACATGCACTATCAATATAGACATGAATGCCATCTTCTGTAGTATTTTCTTGTAGACCAAGACTTTAGATAAATATGGACCAGTTCATCTAGGTCAATATACTATGTGCTAATTGTATAATTAACCGAAAATGGCAGTATTCATTGCAATTTTTCCTTGTTCTTAAGGGAAACTGTAATATAATCCAATGCTGGTAGGAGTTACAGGGATGGGAAAATATGTTTAAAAGGTGGGGAGGCATCTCACAGATGATCCCCTCACAGAACTCTTCTTCAGCTGAGTGGTGAAGCCACAGCACTCATGTAGAATGATTTATTTTGCAAGAGCAGTTGTTTTTCTTGATTTTGTTTTCTGTATCGCAACGTTACCTCTTCTTCAATTAAATTAAAGCTTTATTCTAAGGAGATTATTGTGTCAGTGTCTCTGCAGCTTGCAGCTTGTTTTCTGGGAATAGTCAAGGCTTTTACAACATGTCCTTTCATGTTCTGAGAGTTGGCAATCAAACAGGCAGTGCAAGTAATTATTCTTGGGACATTTTTTATCAAATGTGAAACAAATGTAAAGAAGGCAGGAGGAAAAAAATAACCCAAGCAGCAGTGTTATGCTTAAAAAAAAACTGATTCTCTTGTTAAAACTGCTGTTAAAGCAATCTTTGTCATACCATCTCCATTATTGTGGCTGAAACAGGAGATGGGGGTGCTCAGATTTCTTTTCTAGTATTGTCTTTTATTTTTCATGGCTTTTCTGTGCTGCTGAGAGCAATGGCTGATATTGGTTTCATTGCATTGTTTTCACTGCACTGAAATTCAGAGCAGAACAGCATGAACTTAATCATGCTCCCACTAAGCATACTGGAAGTGGAAAGTCCCACTGCCTTAGAAGGATTATATTGCACCGCTTACATTTTGTATTATTAAATGTTCTTTTCAGGGCATAATGGGTGCAGTGTTATTATCTGTCTTGTAGACTTGTCTTCAAAAGAGCACAAGGAACTGGGTGATTCTAAATGGCTGAAAAGAAATAGATTTCTATTTACAGTGCCCTTGTAATTAGTTCAAAGACAAGAGTGTACTGAGTGTCTGAATGTTAATACCATTTTATTATCAAGGGAATTTGGGGTGCTGCCAAATGAAATAATAACATTAATTTTGAGCAGTAGTATTTAACAGTTTTATTTCTATCTGTTGCAATTATTTAAAACTTCTACTTGGTAAAACTAAGATAATAGTTTCTCTAGAAACAAAAATGAGAAAATTTAAGAACTGAGTTGTTTGCTGAAAGTTGTATGCCAAATATTTTTTCTTTTGGTGTTTTGTTTTAGGTTTTTGGGTTTTTTTTCATGGTGTGTCTGGTTTTCAGTAGTTTAGGAATTCAGTAGCAAAGGTTTCAGACCCTTGTGGCTCTAGTTGACTTCAATGAGATGAGCTTTTCTTCAGCGTGTTTGAAAATCCCTTGTTTCTTTTTGGTGGGTGGCTGTGAGAATTCCAAGTGCAGAAAGAGGCAAGGGGTAGCACACTGAGAATCACAAGATCTAAAACTCAGCTCCTACATAGCAAACTTAAAGGACAATATTAGTTTGGAAGTTTTACATTAATTTAAAATATTGAAGTAGTATATATGTAGTAGTACATATGAAGTAGTATATGTAGTAGTATATGAAGTGGCACAGGATTGATACAGGATAATACTTATGTGCCTTAAAAATATTTATAAGCAAGATTGGCTTAAAACAGTTATTCTATTAAAGCAAGCATACTGTGGCTGGAAATGGAATTTAGCAGGATGAAGGTGTGGAAGTTTAGGTGCATGGGGCTGAGAGTTACCTTTAAGAGACCAGGCACCAATATATCTGAAAGCCTGGCTTCAGTGTGTTTGAAAGCTCATCCTTAAAGCTCATCCGAAAAGATTAAAGTGATGTTTTTATGACTAAACTGTTACTGTGTGGCTTCTGACACATGCTGAAGAATTTAATGCAGAATGATGGAAAACTTGTGAAAGCTATAGAAAGTTACTCCCTCCTGTAAAAGAGAAAAGTGAATTTAATCCCCACAAGGGCAGCGAAAAGGACAAGGTTTTGTAATACAATGTCAGTGCACATGAATAAATATGCATAAGAAAATGGAAGTGTATATAAGGGATGGTTGGAAACCAGCTTGTACATGAAGAACTGAATGTTGTAGTTTTCTGCTGCTTGTGTTTCTCAGCAGTGGTTTCAGCTTGTTCACCCGATTTTAGTGAAATCCTTCTATAACAAAAATGCTGTTGCTGTGTCTGTCCATACTCATGGCTTGATTTACCAGTACAGCAGTAATTTAAAACTGGTAAGGAATTGTGATCAAGTGTTTCTGTTTCTGTTTGACAGGCCGGACCTGATAGACATGAATACCGTTGCTGTTCAAAGCAACCTTGCAAATTTAGAACATGCTTTTTTTGTAGCAGAAAAACTTGGTGTTGCCAGACTTCTGGATCCTGAAGGTAAGAGAGCGACCTTGGCTTTTGTTGCAAAACCCCCAGCACTAAAATAAAGTCCAATCTGTCTGCAGGTTGTAGCATATTTGTGGGCATTCTTACAACTATGTGATAAAGCCCTGTTCTGTCTTGCTCTTCTAGATGTTGATGTTTCCTCACCTGATGAGAAGTCAGTAATAACTTATGTGTCATCACTTTATGATGCATTTCCCAAAGTACCAGAAGGTGGTGAAGGCATCAGTGCAAATGTAAGTAGGAGAACAACATTTGTGCAGTGTGTGAACTACATCAATAAAATACTGAATTTCAGATCCAAAATATTAGCTAGATCTTCCCTAGGACTGCTGTCACACTTTTCTTTGACATGGTTTTTCTATGGTGGGATTTTAAAGTCTCAGCCATTTCATGTCGTGGACATGAAAATATTTATGCAGTGAGCTTAACTGAAAGTGGAGAAAGATCGAGTCAAAGTTCTTACTTTTCAATTGCGATTGTATAAATGATGTCTTTCTGATTCTTACCAGTTTGAAATTTATTAATCTCGAAAATATTTTGTTTTCAGTAGAATTATTTGGGGTCGAAACTGAAGACTGAAATAATTTGGATCTGATCTTTAAATAAATATTGTCTCAGAATTGCAGGATTTCAATATCCATTTTCTATAAGTGAGAAGATTTCAGTCTTCAAAGCTGAAGCAGAAATGAGCTCTTGATGATTTTCATCTCTTCCGTAATCTGGGTTTTGCTTTGGCAGGATGTTGAAGTCAAATGGGTTGAATATCAGAATATGGTGAACTACCTCATGCAGTGGATCAGACACCATGTCACGATAATGTCTGACAGAACATTTCCCAACAATCCCGTGGAATTGAAGGTGAGGTGTGGTGGCTTAGACTCCTTGTTGGAATTACACTTTATCTTACTGACTCAAAGCATACTTGAACAAATGACATGCTTGTTGATTTATACAATCAAGTCAACTGTAGAACAGTACTACTTCTTAACCTTTTCAAAGTATAATCAATACATTGCTAGCATATGAACAATCAAAAGCCAATCGTTACCTTGTCACTGATTGTTTTTTGTAGAACTCTAGTTGAACAGTATATAGGTAAGCTTGTGAAGAATATTAGAAGAGGGTTTAGAAATTAAGGTTATATTCACTCTAAATAAAACTTGATGTTATTTTTCACATTTCTGTAGGCACTTTATAATCAATATTTGCAGTTTAAAGAAACAGAAATTCCACTGAAGGAGACAGATAAATCAAAAATTAAACACCTATATAAACTGCTAGAGGTAAGTCTTAACATTCATTGAAATGTATAGCAGTTCCTTTTCTATGGCTTAAAATAACAAGTACATATGAATTTTTAAGGTCTGGATAGAATTTGGACGCATCAAACTTTCTCAAGGCTACCATCCAAATGATATAGAAAAAGAATGGGGAAAGCTGATTATTGCCATGCTGGAAAGAGAGAAGACCCTTCGGCCTGAAGTGGAGAGGTATGCTAGTGAATACTTGACAGGCTTTGTTAATATATTTTCTGTTGTTTTAACCCATATTGAAATTTGTAAATATCTTCTTCTATGACAATGTCCATATAATTTTTCTAGATCAAGTATTTCTGTCTTTGTTCAAAGACTGAAGTTCTCTATCTGCCTAGAGGCAGGTCCAGACAAAAACAACTTTGGTGGGCTCAGAAGGTTGTGATGAGCAGCATCTGTGCTTCAGATCATCAAAGCACTTATACACATATATAACCACCTTCTTTGTGCAGTTAGTCAAAGCTGGATTTATATCAGTTCACGGTCTCATTTCAACTTGATTTCATATAAGGACCATCCTCATCCTTTACATGAAATGTGTATTTTTCTTGGCGCACACGTTGTGGGCTAACATCTTGTGTAGAGGTTGTTTAAAACATTAGTGGTACTTGAGAGCACACCAAGTGTTTAGATGTGGAAAGGCATAGTAGCTTTCCATGACAGCAGGACACTTCCGTACATTACTGATGACGTGCTAAGCATGATTAAAATCTTGATGCAGTATGAGAGCATTTTTAAATGGTATGTCTTTTTAAGTTCTGTGGGAGACACAGGTGCTATCCATTCATTAATTAAAAAAGCCCCTGTTAAAGTTAAATGATTTTTGAGGCTTCTACATGTGGGTAGATACAGACACCTGGATCTGGATTCATTCTTCTTGACTTTATGCATCCAAAGGAAACATCTAAGATCTGAATTACTTTCTAGAGAATCTTGTTGCTGACTTTCTGGTGACAACAGGGTGACCTATCTCTCTGGTTTAGGTACCTGAAACTAGGTGTGAGGAATCCAGACCATTGTATAGGAGGAAGTCCTCAGCAAGAGAGATTTTAGTCAGGGGGCAAAGACAGTCAGAGTTGATTAAACGTGTTATGCTTGCAAGAGCAAGAGCATGACTGAAATGGCAAATTCAGTAGGAGGTGTTGATTCATAGCACCCTACTGTGGAACAAGTTCCTATAGAGGAATACAAAGTTGTCCACGCAATACTGAGTTTTCCCTCTTACGCAGAGCAGAAAACTGGAAAGCAGCAGCAGAAATACAGCCTGCTAGGTCTTGTAGGTTAATCTGTCCTAACTTGCCAAAAGCAAAGTGTCTGGCTTCACCAATAGAAATTCTGTCCATACTTGCAGGAAGCTGGATTATCTTTGTTGAGAATGTGTATAAATTACATTAGTTTATTTCTGTTTTATTCATATGGTCTGAGCACAGATAAATAAACATGAACATAAATTCCTTCCCATACTTCAGGAAGGGTAAACACGCTTAAAGTGACAGCCCATATGGTGATAGTCACTGCATGTAATGGTCACTGTAAAATGAGAGACAAAATGTCATTAAGTGATTCTGGCTTAGCCACCAAGTTAAAAATATTGATTGATGTGCACACAAGAACATATCCATGTTTGTTGCACTGGTTACCAGTGCATCTTATCATTATGAGGTGTTGATACAGCTGCTGGAGTGAAATTTGATTGTGGCAAAAATGTGACTTCAACCAATACTGAAACCTGGTGAGTAATAAAACTTTGCCTGCAAGTCTATTGAATTTAAAATCTTTGAGATGTCTCAAAGTATCAACACAAACAAATGTGTGGCCAGATTGGTGTATGAGATCAAAATTAATATGGTGTCAATGAGGAGAGTGCCAAAATGAGCTTTAGTTTGCAAAACTAGCAGAGTTTGGCATTGCTGCAGGGGTGTGTCTGTGCCTTTGCTGAGCTCTGCTGCATAAACAGTCACCTTGTGGGATGGGTGTGGTTGTTCAGGAATCCTAAAAGCAGGGGGTGAAATACTGAAAAAATTTCCTCAGACCAAATTCTGAGTTAAAAAGTAAGCTTGAAAGCAGTGATCAGATTTTTATTACTTATTTTCTGGTCAAAGCAGCTAGAAGCAATTGGCTTCTAGCTGAATGTGGAAGATGATGAAGTGAAGTTTTCGGGAGGACAGTGTAGTGGGACAGGGCAGTTAGTGAAGTTGTGTGCTTGGACAGTGCAGAAATGACAGTAGGTTGGATGGTGTATAGGTGTCTCAGAATATGTTGTAATGAGCTGATTAACCCTGATACTCTCCCAGTTTTACTGTGCAGTTTTATTTGAAGGAAAAAGAGTCAGAACAGCCTGGAGGTTATTTGTACTTCACTGTCGAGTGTGGGTTTCTCCCTTCATTCCTTTCTGAAACTTTCCATTGAAGAGTCTGAGAGACACTGCAAAGAGTTCTTTTAGTTCTTACTTGAGTTATTTAGTGACACTTGAATAAAATATTTGGTGTGTCTGTTTCCTAGAGACGCCCCATTGTTGCTGCCTAGTCTGTACTTGCAAAGCTTTAATGCAAGGTAGGGAAGCCAAAAGCAAGGTAGCGTACATAGCCCCAGGTAAAATCTTTTGAAGAGCTGGCAAAATATTAATTGCTGGGTTTTAAATGTGCATACTGAAGCCTATATAAAGGAGGAGTCTAGGTGTTTCAAAAGCCAGTAGTGGAATTTCGTCCCTAGAAGCTGTACATTTTGCAGGAGTTTTATCTTCATTTTCCAGCAAATGCAAACAGCCAGAAGAACTGTGCTCTGGATATAAAAATGAATAGCAGTAGTTACAGCTATCATAGCAGTGATTCACTGTTTAGTAACAGCACTAGTACTCGAACCAGCATTGACTCTAATGAGAATTTCCTTTCTGTTAATTGTGGTCCCACGCTGATTAAATCTTGTATAAGCTTTGGTAATGGAACCTTAGAAGGGAACAGGTAACTTGACATACGCATTTGTGCTTTGTGTAAGATGCTGTTGATTCGTTTGTTTTTAAAGTCATGCAACAAGATTGTAAATATAAATTACCTAGTACTTATTTATTTTCCTGAAATGCTTTGGCATCACCTAGGTTGGAAATGCTGCAGCAAATTGCGAACAGAATTCAGCGAGACAGCCGGAGCTGTGAGGACAAACTGATACTTGCCCGGAATGCTCTGCAGTCTGTAAGTCAGTGATTTTACTTGTCTGTATTTATAAATTTAAAGGAGTTGAATGGCAAGAATTTCTTCAGGGTTTGTGAGAACAACCTTAATAGCTGCTACTTTTATTTTCACTGTACTGTTAAGGTAGCATTTCTTCAAGAAAATACCACAAGTTGCCTAGAGTGTGTTCTGTTACATTTTTTTTTGTTCTGTAGTTAATTAAATGCTTCACAATTGCTTCAAGATAAGAATATGTTGTTTAAAAAAAAAAAAAGGAATTCTTAGAGCTGATATCTCTTCAGTTTTAGCTGCAAGGCTTATGACTTTCTCTTATTTACTAAGGACACCAAGCGATTGGAGTCAGGGCTCCAGTTCCAACATGAAGCAGAGATAGCTGGGTATCTTCTTGAATCTGAGAATCTTCTCCGCCAGCAAGTGATTGATGCCCAAATTCTTATTGATGGAAAATACTATCAAGCAGACCAGCTTGTTCAAAGGTACTTTACTGTATGTTTATGTGTATAAATAAATGTCCCAAATATGGATTCCCCATTATGGACAAAATTTTCAGTTCTTTATAACTATGCATAAACTTGGTGGTCTGTCACTGGACAACAATTTGGGTGATATTTATCAGAAATTCTGGTGTGTGCATTGCTCACAAATGTTTACAACAACAGAAACTATTTGTACTTATTTATGAAAATTAAGTCAATCCCTGAACATGACTTAATGTTTGCTAGATATCTGCATGTAAAGATGTTAGCTCGTTTTATTGCATGTGAAATATATTTAGAATTTACTAACTTTGATTTTTTTAAATGGAGGTGAGATGCCTGGTGACAGCTGTAGGTGTATTAGCAGGTAATAAGTGGGGTAACATTAGCTTATGTGTGGCACTGTGTACAGTGTTGGCAGAAAGAAGCATTTAAACTGCATAATTCTATTTTATGAAGAAGTGGTTCCAAAGTTTTTTTGGGATTCATCCTTGGGACTGATTGAGATAAAGTGCATAACTCCTTGGCAGTGAACTGCAGGTGTTTGATCTACTCCAACATGTAGTGTCTTGTAAAATTTCTGGTTTGCTGATTGTTCCCTGGAATCGTGTATAGTGCATGTTAGCGCCCATAACATTTTTTAGTCTTTGCCCGATTTCTGCATTTATTATCTGTATAGAACTGTAAGCTATATTCCCTGTACTTTCTGATAAAAATACTTGCTTATTAATATTTAAATGCAACTAAAGTGTAAGAGAAAATGTGAGCTCATACCACTATTCAGTTGATCACGATAAACCTTAATCATAAGCATTCATTGTTCGTTTTTTTTTTTTAAATTCTAATTTAATAGAGTTGCAAAGCTTCGTGATGACCTGATGGCCATACGGACGGAATGTTCTTCTGTGTACAACAAGGGGCATGCACTGACCACAGAGCAGACAAAGCTGATGATATCAGGAATAACTGAAAGCTTAAACTCAGGATTTACAACAAACCTAACACCTGAATTAAATGCTGCAATGACACAAGGTTTAACACCTACTTTGACTTCTTCCAGTTTGACATCTGGCCTTTCATCAGGTCTGGCTTCCAGACTGACACCAACCATCACTCCCACTTACCCATCAGGCATCCCACCACGGTTAATTCAGAGCTACGTGACAGGAGTAGACAGTGGGACTCTGCAAACACTCAAACTGACGCAAATTAGAAAACCTCGTATGAAATCAGCTTTTGTGGATCAGAATTTGACAGAAGAAGAGGTGAACATGAAGTTTGTCCAGGACCTGTTGAGCTGGGTAGAAGAAATGCAGGTAGCATTTTTTGCAGAAACAGTCCTTTTTTAATTATTAAGTTTACTTTTTATAGATCATGGCTAATCTTTTCTTCCTGTTTGTAAGGTTCAACTTGATCGAGCAGAATGGGGTTCAGATTTGCCAAGTGTTGAAAGCCATTTAGAAAATCACAAAAATGTCCACAAAGCTATTGAGGAATTTGAATCCAGCCTTAAAGAAGCCAAGATCAGTGAGGTACTGAACCATGTTCTTTATTTCTTTGATTACTTTCTTACTGGGTGACCCATAAACTAATGTTGAATTTTAGAGCTGTGTTTGGGTTTCACAGTCTTACCTTTATTTCTGACCTCTACATGACTTATGATGAAATCAGAAGATCTAATGGCTTAACATGTCTAACCTTTTTATTTTCTTTTCATCTCGTATACCAAATATAGATCCAAATGACTGCCCCTCTTAAACTCAGTTATGCAGAAAAACTGCACAAACTGGAGAGCCAATATTCAAAGCTCTTGGTAAGTCAACAATACATCTTCCGTGTTCAGCTTTTTGATATGCATAATTTCTGATAAGGAATGAGCTTTAAATTCTTATTATTTTAAATCTTTTCCTTTTAATAAAGAACACATCAAGAAATCAGGAAAGACATCTGGATACTCTTCACAATTTTGTGTCTCGTGCTACTAGAGAGTTGATATGGCTGAATGAAAAAGAAGAGGAAGAGGTTGCATATGACTGGAGTGAAAGAAACCCCAATATAACAAGAAAAAAGGAATACCATGCAGTATGTATTACTAATATATTCCAGAGGGAATTATTAAGTGATCTTTAATTATTAGAGAGAGTTCTAAGACTTTTTTTTTTGTCCGAAAAAAGGAATTAATGAGAGAACTTGATGAAAAAGAAGAAGTTATTAAATCAGTACAAGAAATAGCTGAGCAATTGCTTCTTGAAAACCACCCAGCCAGGCTAACCATTGAGGTAAGTTAGTTAAACCAGCACCAAAACAGGAAAAAGTTTCGGGATTTAAGTGCTGAGTTTCGAGGGGGAAAAAAAGGGGAAAAAGAAGGCAAACTTAGAGAAAATGAAACAATATTCTAAATTAAAGGGGCCTTTTGAAATTTCCTCTTCGGCATCTCTGTTGTATTTATCTTCCAGTTTCCAAAATATAAAAATGCTTTTATAATGTGGTTACACCTTGGATTGTTTAGATGAAGTCTCCTTAAACTCTAAAATTAATTGGTCTGTACACATGTTTCTGGTCATGCAACTTCTAGAGTTGTTGATACAAATTGCATTGACAGACTGAGGGCACAGAACAGTCTTTATGGTGTTTCTTTCCTGTTGGGTTGCAAGAAACTTCACTAAGAGCTTTTGTTTGTCACTTACTGCATGTGCAGGTTCCTATTACAATTTAGGGTTGGTTTCATAACTTACTTGTCAGTGAATTATGAAACTTGTTTGGATGTTAAAAATCTTGACCAGATGATATGATTTACTTTAGGCTTGAATCTAGCTCTGTGTTATATATGTAAACAATTTACAGAAAAATTTATTGTAGCTCTTGTAGGGTCATAACAGGGTTTTCAAAGGAGAATGCAAAACACTTTTCCTTCTAGACCTTCAAGGAAAGAGTAGATACAGACAGTGGGTGGTAAAGACTGAAACAATAATTTAGAAGAATCATAGAAGAATGAAAAAGTCAGAGGGAACGTGTTTTTATTATTCTTCTGAAAACACTGAAGAAAACCTCTCCCTTCCTTCTCATGACATATACTTTGAATTATAAATGAGTTTTTATGTAATGTGGGAAATTCTGTTCTTTAAAAGTATAGGCTGATCTAATGGGTTCTTATTGGTGTAGTGTATAAATGCACTGAGGATGCCTGTTATGAAACCAGGCCATCGCAGTCATGATGACTCTGCAGGTTATGCCATCTCCAGTGATGCTATATTGGGATATTTATAAAAAATATCCTTTAAAAAAACATTCTTTTCTACAGAACAATATATGTATTAATGCATCAATTTGAAATTCCTGGAAGACAATGGAAAAACTGTTTAGAGCTGGGAATGACAGGAGTGGAAACCCCGTAATAGGGGGTGATTTCCCAGGGGCAGGAGCTCCCCCTGCTGACAGGCCTGGGGGCGCGTTTTCAGCTTGCATTCGGTGCTGCGTTACGAGTCTTTAACTGTGTATTCAGTGCTGCGTTAGGACTTTTTAACTGTGTAGTCACAGAGTTAAAACTGTGTTCAGTGCTGCGTTAATATACGAGCTGTACCCGGCAAGAGTCCCTCTGTTTTGGCTGAGTAAATAGGCACACGGAATTGCAGATGAGCTTAGGCTGGAGGAACCTCAGGAGTTGAGCTCCCAGCAAGAGCTGAAGTACTACCAGGGATTTGTTTGGCCAAATTCTGACCAGGCCAGAGGATGATGATTTCACAGTCCCTCTGGGCAAGTTTTGTTATGTTTGCCTGTGCTGTAGCGACAGGGTTTCTTTCTCGCATCCAATTGGAATTTTCCTTGCTGCAGCTTAGTTTTCCAGGGTGAGATGGTCAGGTTTTAGCTGCCTGTGTTTGCTGCATTACCTTTGTGTTTACTAAATTCTTTAAAGGTGTACAAGTTTTAGTTTTCATTTCCATTTGTAAAATGTATTTCCCTTCCTTAAAGGCCTATAGAGCTGCAATGCAGACACAATGGAGCTGGATTCTTCAGCTCTGCCACTGTGTTGAACAACATTTGAGAGAAAATGCTGCATATTTTGAGGTAAGGAAGTAAATTAATCAGAATATGAAATATTTTAAGTTTTGTTCATAGTAAAAAAGTTCCACTAGAAGCTGTAGTTGTTCTCTCACAGTATTTGTAGAATTGGCATTTGTCTTGTACAACTACTAGATGGTAAAACATACTCCCACAGAGTTGCTACACCTCTATTTCTTCACTACCGTTATGTTAGTTCACAGCAGATGAAAATCTGGCCTGAGATTTTTTTCAGTGCTGCAGCTGCAAGTAGAGACTTTGGGAATGAAACCTTGTTCTCTTCCATGTCGTGCGCAGCTGCTGTCAGTGGAGCTTCTGTGGATGATGTAGAGTGGAGGGTGGTTAGTGATGGCCACGGGAGAACATATTCTAGGCAGTTATTCCAGGATTACTCAAAGCAAAATGCAATGTGCAGCATTAATAATGAACAGAGTATACTAGAGAACACCCTGACAGCAGACATGTGCCATGAAACACCTGTCTGATTATCTCATTGTCACCCATTCACATACTCAGCAAATGATGAAGTTACTTGCATGAGCATGATAGAGGAGCTTTTTTGTTGGTTTTGTTTGTTTGTTTTTTAATCTACTAGTTTAAAATATTTAAATTATAAGGATGAATCCTTAATGTCTTCTGGTTTGTGTGGTTGAAGAGAAAGTTAGGTGATGAATGGGTGAGATGTCTTTGGACTGAGAAGGATGAGAACCCAAAGTCAGGAAAGGGACTCTGGAGAAGACAAAGCAATTTGAACTCCTTGTGACAGGGGGAAGAAACTGGAATTCTGGATTTAAGAAATGGAGCTTAAGGGAGAGAATGGGATTACCCTTCCCAGTCGTGCCTAAGCAGGACCCAAGTGTGGCAGCTCATTTCTCTTCCTGCACAGAATGTTTGCCCCAGCTGTGCTGCCTGGATTTTGCAGCTAGTTTCTATAGTTTGTAGGCTTTGTCTGTGCTTTCCATGTGAAAGTAATTGTAATTCTGAGGAAAGCAAGATTGGCTTAATAAAATTTTTTCATTGCAGGAATGGTCATTAACTGTAGGTTCAATAGCTGCAGAATTAATTTTGCATGTAGCTCGTACTGAGAATAACTGGTGCTAACAGTGTATGCCTTTTTGAAGAGTACATTTAGACATGAGATCATGAGTAGTTGAGTGTGATGCAGTGGTCACTTCCAAAGAGAAAAAGTAATTTTAAAAGACAATACTTGAAAACTTCAGTGTAGCTGATTCTGAATTTTTTAGGTTGTTTAAAAATAACCCAGATAATTATTTCATCCTAGTTTTTCAGTGATGCCAAAGAAGCCATGGAATATTTGAAGAATTTAAAAGATACCATATACCGAAAATACAGTTGTGATAGATCAAGTGGTCTTCATAGGCTGGAAGACCTTGTCCAGGAGTCTATGGTAAGATCTTTGGTAGGATCCTGTTAACAGGCATTACAATAGAAAAAGAAACGTGTAGGTTATGGTGGGATATAAAATGTGTTAAGATTATTGTTTTAAAGTGAAGGAAAAATGCTGATTTTTCAGAATGTCTAAATAAATTACTCTTTTTCATAACTTTAAAATAGGTTTTATTTATTTATATTTACAATACCAGATGTGGGAAGACAGTGGCTTCAAAAAGATAATTTATTTTTGTAAAATGTGTTACTTTTAGGAAACACAGTAGAAGGAGTTAGGGGAAAGAAAAAACATAACAGGATCAAAGAGGCAGTACTGTATTCTGGACATCTCTTATGACGTATTCTTCTCTTAACTGTTCTAGGAAGAAAAAGAACAACTCTTGCAGTATAAGAGCACAGTAGCAGGCCTTGTGGGAAGAGCAAAAGCAATAATTCAGCTGAAGCCAAGGAACCCTGACTGTGTACTCAAAACATCCATTCCAATTAAAGCCATCTGTGACTATAGACAAATTGAGGTTAGAAAGTAAAATTTCCTCAAACCAATTACAGATGTAAGAATTCAGCTAAAGTTTCATTAATTACTGCGTTCCTGGAGAAAGCTGGGCTGTAAATTTCTTCCACCCTAGTAAACAAGAGCAAATCCTTTGATTAGAACATTGGTTTTGTTGTTCTGTTGCTTATTTGTTGACAGCATTTGCAGAAGTGCTTTGTACAATTATTTTGTAATGCTTGGCTCATCAAATTATTCTGCTTTTCTGTTAATACTAGATAACTATTTACAAAGATGATGAGTGTGTATTAGCAAACAACTCCCATCGTGCTAAATGGAAAGTCATTAGTCCAAGTGGTAATGAGGCCATGGTTCCATCTGTATGCTTTACAGTTCCTCCACCAAACAAAGAAGCAATAGATACGGCCAACAGGTAAGGACAAAGTAAAACTACCTATTTTCTATTAAAATCCGCTTACATGAAGCTTAGGTTTAAGGAGTATCTCACAGTTTTTGTTGGTTTGTTTTTTGGTTTTTTTTTCTTCTTTTTCTGTTTTAATATGTTACCCTGATCTGAAGTTGGAATTTTTTTGTTTCAGGATTGAGCAGCAATTTCAGAATGTCCTGGCCCTTTGGCACGAGTCACATGTAAACATGAAGAGTGTGGTGTCCTGGCATTACCTGACAAATGAAATTGAAGCTGTTCGAGCTGGCAATGTTGCCTCAGTAAGTGGTATGATTAGGAAGGGCTCTTAAACATTTACTAGGAAGTTATAGGATGACTAAAACTGTGTGCAATCACAGAGTGTTGCTTTGCAATACTGAAAAATGACATGTTCCTGCCTAAGTTATCACTGTTACTGTTGGAAAGAAGAATCTGAGATATTTTTTGAAGTGTCCCTATTTGTCCTTGCTATTGTTTGCTGCTGCATGGCGTTAGATGGCAGAAATGAAATCCGATGTAGGGTTGGCTTAACAGAGGCCATTCCTGATGTGAAAGACTGAAAAGGATTTTATGTTAAGTGTAAATTATCAGATGTCAAGTGGACTCCAGCTAAGGAACAGTGAGCTTTCAGAACCTCAGTTCTTTGACATTACCTTCTTAGTAATTGATCAGTATTGCTTTTTGATAAATTGTGTGGGTGATGCACCATTGCTGAGTGTGTTTTGGGTCTGTAATCTGTTGCAGATAAAGACAATGCTGCCAGGTGAACATCAGCAGGTTCTAAGCAATTTACAGTCCCGCTTTGATGATTTTGTGGAAGACAGCCAGGAGTCCAAAATCTTTACAAGCTCCGATACGGCACAGCTGGAAAGGGAGGTTAATGTTTGCAAACAATACTATCAAGAGCTTCTCAAGTCTGCAGAAAGAGGTAAAAGTTAGCTTAGAAGAGTAGAAAGATACCCTTATGAGATAGATTTTGTTCTTCATCTTGAGGTCTCTTTATCATGGTGATATTATTACAGTTTGTGTTCTTTTGAACAGTCATTTTAATGATGTGTGCAATTGCATTGTATAGAGGCTCTTAATTTTTTTTAGACCTTATATATATTAAGCTATGTAAAAATATTGATGTGTTACATAACATATAAATGCTACAAAAATTTTTACACCTAAGAATTTATGATGTGCATTACAGCTCACTGCATAGTCCTGCTTTCCTTGTTTTTGAATGCTGGAAAAACAGCTTGTTTACTTTATTGAATTTGTAACATAATGTCCTAGGGTGTCCCAAACCAGGGCACAGTATTAGAACTTTTTTCACCCTCTTAAGGCAAGGAAAATGTCATAGCTATTTTCCTAGCTCCACAGGATGCCTATAGTTACTGCTCTCTTAACTCTAATTAACACTGTATTAATACAGTGAGAACAGAAAGCTTAAAATTGCTCTTTCGATTCACTGTTGAGTGGTTGATGACTTAAAGAAATACAGTAGTCCAAAGCTGATTACTTCATTAGCAAAGTTCACTAAACTTCAGGAAAGATGTGCCCTGAAAGGCATCTGAAAGAGGATTTATGTCCCTGATACCATAAATTAAATGAATCAGTCACTGAATTTAGCAGTGTCACCATAGAGGTAATGCCTGTGCAGAATGATCACAGATAGTAATTTTTCATGTATGAGGAGATGATTTAATAAAAACAAAAAATCAAGAGTTTCTAAGATTTTCCTTATAACCAAAATTTCAATGGAAACTGATGGTATTTTGGCCAGTCAGGAAAACACCTGTAGAGCAATGACTTGATAAAGCCTGAGAAGTTATGTTGAAAATGACACGATGTCTTTGCTGGCTAACATGTGCCTTAATTCTTTCAACAGAGGAGCAGGAAGAATCTATTTACAATCTGTACATCTCTGAAGTCAGAAATATCAGACTTCGGCTGGAGAGCTGTGAGGAGAGGTTAATACGGCAGATCCGGACGCCAATGGAAAGGGACGATGTACATGAAAATGTGCTTAGGATTTCAGAGCAAGAGGTGAGCCTTTGAGAAAGTCTGTTTTACCTAGGAAAGGTTTTATTTAAAAAGCAAATATATCCCGACTTTTGAGTGTAAGCCAGGAAGATTTGCAGTGTGACTTGAAAAGAGGAGTCAAATATTTAGCTTGTGTTTGTGAGCAAAAAGATGCTGATCAGTGGCAACTCTGTTAGTTTCCCTATTACACATACATTTCTCTTCAATTTTTTTTCAACATTGTCATCATCAAAGAAGCAAAGGAGGGCAGACCTGTACTCATAATAATATGGAGAGTATCTATCAGGTTGATGTAGGATGAAAGCACTATCAGTCTCCTCATTTTACAGAAACTGAAGAAAGAACTGGATCGACTAAAGGAGGACTTGGGAGTCATCACAGATAAGTGCGAAGAGTTTTTCAGTCAAGCTGCTGGTTCACCTTCAGTCCCTACTCTGCGCTCTGAACTCAATGTTGTTATACAAAACATGAATCAAGTTTACTCCATGTCTTCCATTTTCATAGATAAGTACGTACTAGACTGTCTTCCATCACATGTTTTAGTTTACAGTTTTGTCTTAAATTAAAACTATTAGTATGAATAATACTGATTAAAGAAAAGAGAGTTAACATTTTAACAGTGTATAAAGGGGTACCCTGTGACATGAAAAGGCTGAAAACCACAAATCTGTTGAGTGTTGGTATTGATGGTTCAGTTAACAGGGGGTCTGTTTTCCAGATTAAAAACTATAAATTTGGTGCTGACGAACACCCAGACAGCAGAATCATTAGTAAAACACTATGAAACTAAGTTGTGTGAAGAAGAGGCAGTAACGGCTGACAAAAACAATATTGAAAATCTGATGGGTACATTAAAGGTAAGAGCTGGCTGGTGCCTTTTCATGGGCAAATCAGAAAAATAAGACAAAAACTATCTGTCTTGTAACATCTGATTTTGTTATGCTACACTCCATAGTGTATCCATACATTGGCTTGTGTATTTAGTTTTAGGTGGTATTAGGATTGACATTTCAGAAAATAATGGCAGTTTTGGAGCATTAGGATTTGGATAGGTTGAAAGCATGTTCCTACTGCTGCAAAATGTGTTGAGCTATCTGAACTTGCAAAAGTGACACTTGTTAATGCTGCAGTAAGATTTTCTTTGCTCTTTAGAAGGTAGCATATACTTTAGGGTAATATAAACATATGTTATGCAAATTTGACCACAGTAACATTCTTGCTACTGCTTCAGTGTACTAAGCAGGGTTTCTTAGGAAGTTTGGCAGGTATCTTTGAGAAATGGAAAGATTGAAGTTTAGCATATTTTTGTTTGCTGTACATAACTCATTTTAATATTACAAATTATGACTAGTGGTTTTTTTGCTAGATAGAATGATTGGCATCTGCCTAATAATTTCTTTGAAAGCTGTAGTTTATAAGGTGTGTTCGTTTGATGTCTGTATTTTGATCTATGTGTTGTGGGGATTGCTGTTACTTAGAATTACTTTGCAGTTTATTGCTTCAGACCCATTCTGGTGTCACTCAAGTATTTTAGCAAGCAGAAATCAAATATTAATTGAAACATTTTTATTAATTCATTTATACGGCATACTCATGTATAATACTCATTTTATAAAATAGTGTCTTAATTTTGACAGTTATTTACAACTTTTTTTATCACCTACTAGCAATGGAGATCTGAAGTAGATGAGAAAAGACAAACATTCCATGCCTTAGAGGATGAACTGCAGAAGGCAAAGATGATCAGTGATCAGATGTTTAAAATGCACAAGGAACGTGATCTTGACTTTGACTGGCATAAAGAAAAAGTTGATCAGTTGGCTGAGAGGTGGCAAAATGTTCATTCTCAAATTGAAAATAGGTTTGTATGACTTTATTATAATCCATTCATGTTTTATACTGGTTTTTGGTTTTTTTATTTTTGAGAAAAAACAATCAGAAATTAATGTTTAAACAGGTCTGAACTTTTTTGGAATGTGCTGGGATGAAGACCTTTATTGTGCTGTTGATAACATTGTTTTACTTTTCCACTGGAAATGTCTGTGACTGTTAAGTTCCAAAAGATGAACAAGATGCAGAAACTTACTACTTACCAATACACAGTGTAGATAAATTGTCTTTTTTCTTTAAAAAACCAAAAAACAAAAAACAGACCTGCAGAAATGGCTGGCAGTCCTATGGAAATACCATCTGTTTCTCCACATAATTAGTTCTGATGGGCCAAATTGATGAGCTGATTCATCAGTTATTATTGGATTCACGTTAATTTGCTTTTAATTACTCAAGTGTTAAGTCTGGAAGTTCTTAGCTTCCATTGACTTCTGTGATAATTTTTGGTACAATCACTTTTTGGTGAAGTGCCTTTTATTTTTTTAAATATCCAGTAGAGATAGTGCTCTAAATTCAGCCCTTTACTGTCAGGTTGATACTGAAAAATGTTGCTCAGTTACACATGCCTATGCAGATGTGCAGATACAGCTGAACACACCTACCTGTATTTCTGAAGGAGATGTCCATGTATCCTGGCATCCATGGCATTCTTGGAAATGCTTTTTTCTTCAGTCTCTACAGTCCTGTTTCCTGTATGTAAAGGAAGTAGAAATGTAGAGGATGAAGGAAGAAGTATGGGCAAGGGTTGAGGAATTGTGTACTGTGCAGTCTGAACTTATTTCCTTTGAAATGTACTTTAGTTTGTCATTACAGATAGCCTGAAAAAGAACATTGAAGATAGTGCTGTTGATATAAAAGTTCACACAACTACCTGTCACATTTTTGTCCTCCTTCTCTAAGGGGTGAATATACAATTCAGGTGCAATATTGAAGTTATTCCCTCGTAATTAACTAATTTAGTTGTGTCTGTCTAACATTGCTGGAAGTTAAAAAGAAGATGGGGAAAAGGTCACTCATTTAAAGCTGGCTGCACCAGCTTTAAATAAAGTTCCACCTCTTATTTTTCATCAGTTGTTAGTGTGACATAATTTAAGTAGTTTTATGAGGTACTGAAGTGTTCTTATTTCTTCAAGCATGAACCGCATGCTCTCCTCCCAGGACTGTATCCTGAACAGAATATGCTGAAAAATGACTGCTAATACATAGTGGCTTCTGGTGTAAATAGGACAGATTGTGGTAACTGCAGTACAGAGCTGTAAATAAGCTGCTTTCTGCAAATATTATCTCTGCTTCTTCCTACCAACTTGACACTGATAATCATTATACAAAATGTATTTACAAATATTGGCTGCAGTTATCATGATCCTTTCTCTTTTTCATGGTTATTAGCTTTAAAACATGCTTAAGTATGAAACCTGAGCAAAAAAAAAATTTCTTTTGCTTGCTTTTTTAATCTCCTTTTGGCATCTTAAGAACAACACTAGAGCAATTCAAAGTATTCATTCCAAGCTGAACTGTAAAAGGTTATTCAATTCTGTTTATTCTCCAGTGTTGAGTGGTCATACTTATATGATCTTTTAAGTAGAATCATAGAATATCCTAAGTTGTAAGGAACCACAAGGATCATCAAGTCTTAACTCCTGGCTCTGCAAAGAGCAGCCACCAAAATCACACCATGGTAACAAGTATAAGGATCATGAAAGAAAAATTGTCAGTATCTCCCTCAGTATGGAAGTGACTTTAAAGAAATACACAGAATTCTCTTTTTGCATCAAAAACATGATTTAAAATTAGATGTGCATGTTCAATTACTCTTGCACATTAACATATTTTCAGTCTTTAGTTTTAGTGTAACTCCTGCTGTTTTGTGGGCATGTAGAGTATGGTGAACCACTACTTGACTCCATCATGACACACTCCTCAATTCATAGATTACATTTTTAATACTCCCACTTGTAACAGAGCGGTTTGCTGTAGCAGAGGCCTCCCTCTTTCTTGGGGTTTCCTTGTGGAGTTTCAAGCAGTTGAACACACTAATGAAGGATGTATGGAGTTTCTTGTGTAGTAGGATCTCTTCTGGATGTCCTTTATGACAAATGGAAAGAGTTTGTCAAGCTGGGAGCCCTAATATTTGAGAAATGAATTTGCTGTTTAATTAGTGTCACTTTAGTATGTTTATACTGTGAACTGTAACAGAGCCAAGGCATTTGAAGCCTTTGAAGCTGTATTTGCCTTAGTGTTGTATTTTTTGTCTTTAATAATCATCTTCTCCCCTTTGATTTGTCTTCTAAAATAAAATCAGGTTGCGTGACTTAGAAGGTATTAATAAATCTCTGAAGTATTATAAAGATACTTACAATTCTTTGGACACTTGGATTCAACAAGTGGAAGATACTCAGCGAAAGATTCAAGAAATACATCCCGAGAATAGCAAAGCATTGGCTAAGCAATTGAACCAACATAAGGTATGAAAGGGATGTCATTGTGGCAAACCACTGCAGTAAGCTCTAACCAAAGAATTACAATATCAGTGGTATCAACCTTGTTTATTAGTATGAGGGGCTTATATCCATCAGCCCTTATTGTTAAACTCCAAATAACCACCAGATTTTATGATTTTGTGTCAACAGTGCAGCCATGAATAAATCATCCAGTGACTATTGTCACTGTGTTATAGACCAGATTGTTTGGTCCTCAAGTGTACAAGAACATCAAAACCTTAAAACTTCTGGACTCACTTTACCACATAATTTCATATTCAGTGCTGCTTTTTTTTTTATTTATGGATGTAGAAATATTTTTATGGAACCATAGCTAAACTCAACATCTTTCTCCTGCAAGAAGGAAATGCAATATGAATAGACAGGATAATAAATTATATGCATGAAATGATACATTCCTGACTTAAAGTTCATTCCCCAACTATTAACCTGGCTTTTTCACTACTTCTGTACTGTAAATCTCATAAAGCTGAGGAAGTAGGCTTGAGCATAATTACTTGTATACATATGGATAAGATCATATTAGATAAAGTAGATGTTAATGAACCATCTATTTGTGTTAAAAATATTAGACAAAGTAGAAATGTTAATTATAATAGTAATAAAATAACTTTTAAGATGAAAATGTATATTCATATTTTCCAGATGCTGGTTTCTGAGATTGAAATGAAGCAAAGCAAAATAGATGAATGCCAGAAGTATTCAGAACAATACTCAGCTGCTGTGAAGGTAACAATAACATTACACTTAATCTTATTTTTTTAGTGTCAGTATCATGTGTAATGTCAATGATTTTGTTTATTTTCTCTTTTACAGGACTATGAGTTGCAGACCATGACCTACAGAGCTATGGTTGACTCCCAGCAAAAATCTCCAGTAAAGCGCCGAAGAATGCAAAGCTCATCAGACTTCATTATTCAAGAGGTAACTGGTTTCTTATGGCAGGAAAATGTGAGTTTTTGCTTAAAACAGAGTAAACACAAGAATTCAGTTTTGGATTTAATAATGGTTAAATATGGTAATCCAAGAAAGATTGGGTCTTTTCTCTCTAGATACACAATATAACAAGTATTCTCTTGTTCCTTATGCTGCATTTTGGTAGCAAGATAGTATAATGCAGCTGATTTAAAAAAGTCACCCAAATTATAAAAGGCTGTATGACAACTGTGCCTCAGTAAAACTGCTTAGAACTACCCCTGGACTGGATCTTGAGCACAGTAGACAAGAAGTTCATCTTGACCATAGTAAAACCTACCAGATCTAGACACTTTGATAGATTCTAAGGCAAATCAGCCTACTTCGGATGAGAAAGATAAATCTGTCTCTCTGCAACCTGTTAGAGAGAAGAACAGTGACAAACATGGCTTGTTCCTCTTGAAACCTTTTCATGCAGGGATAAGAATCATGAGACTATGAAGTTAAAACATTGTCTTCTGTTTCTTCTTGTGGAACTGCTCACAGATCCTTAGGGTTTTTTGTTCAAGTGCACCTTGTTGACAGCATTGAATTTTGGAATCAAAATTAGGACTTTGGATTCCACAATCATGATTTTGAAATCAAAATCAGGATAGGTTCTAGAGCAGTGTCTATCACTTCTTTCAAGCTTAATGGGAGTGTTTGACCTCTATGACACCTATCCCCCCTTTTGTTTCTTTACAGTTCATGGATCTACGGACTCGGTACACTGCCTTAGTGACCTTGATGACTCAATACATTAAGTTTGCAGGTGATTCTTTGAAAAGACTGGAAGAAGAAGAGGTAGGTTATTCTCTGGCAGTCAACCAAGCAAAAAGAACATCTAGGCAACCAAAGAGAAATATAGCTGTTGAAATAATTCACAAAGTTACCAGCAAATGTGGAAGTGCACGTTGTACAGGAATGTAGCAGTGTTAGCACTATTATCATTCAGATAGGCAAAATCCTGTAGCATTCATACATTTTACCAGTTCTTCCACCTAGAAAGATCATATGATTTTTTGAATTCTGATGGACATGTAGTTTAAATTTAAATACTAATACTTTCAATTTTAATACCGTAGGGCTTGATCTTTTGGGTACAAGCAGACATTAAGATGAAAGCAAACTCACTGTGTATACCCTATGTTTATATATTTTTAGTATTCCATAGTATGCATTCTGATCCACTTAACAACTGGCAAGGAAGCACTTTCAACAGGGAGATGAAATGCCCTCTTAATTAATTTCTGAAGTTATTTTGATCTGTTCAGCTATTTTTTTCTTCTGCCTTTCTACTGTATTGATTCCTTGGAGTCAAACAGCATTTTATTTATGCTTAGAGTTGGATCTTATTAGCAAGAGTAGGTTATTGAAATTAGGCAGACAAATTTCTCAAAATACATGCTTGCTGCAGAGCAAACCTTCCAAATAATTGAGGGGAAAAAAACACCAGCCTTCCAAATTTTTCTCATTCTTTTGAAAGTGTCTCTCAGAAACAGATTATATAGTCATTCTTTAAGGACTACATTGTTTTAGTATAAACAGTATGAATTGGATAAAATTGGAGAACACTACCATATGGGTGTAAATTTTACTGTTATCGTTAAAGAAAAAAATCCAGTTCTTAAATGAGCGTTATATAATACTGGTGCCGATTTTGTTTTTATTGGCTTTTCTTGCTATTGAATACCTCTGAATCAACACTGACAGCATGTATCTTTGTGCATCATTAAGTGGTGGAGCAAACTGATGGAAATAGATAATATTTGTTGATAAGTAGCCATTATAACTGAGGATTTAGTATGACTAATAATGATAATGGCATCAAGGATAAAAAGTCAGAAGGAACAAGGATGAAGAAATCCGTGAATGTTGATAGACTTCACGTTCTTCAAGAACAAGTGGAATCTTTCAAAATGCTTAGAGTTTCAATCTGCTCTGACCCTCTGGGATTACTTTTTTTTTTGAAATCAAGTACTCTCCATCTTCCTTCCTCCTCTACCCCCAGTCAGCCTTCTAAATCTTTGGTATCTTTTTTGAAGATAATCTAAGCATGTTACCAGTCTCAAAATAATATAATGGGGTTTTTTCTCTTTAATTAGGGTAGCAAATAAGAAAAAAAAATCTTTTTCAAAAGAGGAATGAGTTGGTTTTTTTTCTTCCGGGAAGAAAAATTCTTCACAGACCTCTGAAGTCTGTGATTGTTCTGAGATTATCTTTTATGCCAGTCTTTCTTCCTAACTCTCAGTAATGACATTAAGAAAACAGAGAATAAGGAAAAAATTAGATGATTTCCATCATATCTCAGTTTAATCCATGTGCTGTCATGCTCAGAGTTTATCAGAAGAGAATCAACTCCAGCAACCTGTGAAGTCAGCTGAAATCTTTCAACATTTGGGATGTAATGAAGATCTTGAATTGAGAGAAGGAAAGAAACCTAATGAAAGCATGATGGATGTGGAATATTTGCAAAACAAGAACTCTTCCAGTAAGCCTGAATACACAGAAAATAAACTGGAAATAAGCAGAAGAAAATTAAATGTAGACAGATATGATAAAATCAAAATTGATAGAACATTTAAGCAACTTCTAAATTTCAGTGGTCAAGAAAGTAGCATTAGTGGCAACAGAGACACTGAACTGCATACAGAGCAGGAGAGTTTAATGGGTTTTAGTAATCAAAGTAAAGAAGAAAAAAGAAAAGATTGTTTTGTTTCACCTGAAATCTGTCTTAGTGTGAATGATCCTGGTGAAATGTTAAATGAGCAAGTTGCTAATGGAGAGAGACAGAAAGCAGAGTGGAAATCAAAGAGGTTGCCTGAAGTGGAAATGATACACAAAACCACAGGAAAAAACAGTTCAAGAAAGGCAGGGAATGATGTTTCAACAAAGGAAGAATGTGAGATGCAATCAGAAACTGATTTTCACCTAACAGCAAAGCAAGTTGAAGTAACTGCAAAAACTCCAAAGCAGTCCCTAGGTATCAGCAAACAGCAGCATTTTTCACAGAGAACTAATTTTCCATGTAAACATAAAGAACATTGCTTTGCAGAAAGCAAAAGCCATAATGCTTTAACATCTGAAGATGGAAAGTTTCAAGTGTGTGGTGAAAAAGGTGATACTCTTTCAGGTGCAACACATGCAGCATCTTTAGAGAAAGTTGCATTCTCTTTCAGAGAGTTGACAGTGCACAATGGAAGTGAAAAAACAAAGTTAAATTTGCTATCTATGAGCAATCCAGGTACTTATTGTCATGTTGAAAGGAATACTGACAAACTGCAGAAAGCATCTCTGGATAAAGATTACTTCCTAGTAGAAAATGAAATCCTAGAAAAGTCAAATTTAAATAAAGCCAAGAATACAGAGGAAGAAATTCTGTCTCTTTCTTCAGGAAATATTTCAGAGAATCACTGTGCAGCAAAAGCCTCTGAATCCTATCCATTAGATTTTCAAGTATCACCAGTGCAGAATGATCAACATTTAGGTACAGAATTGTTAGGAAATGCTGGTGATGTAAATACAAATTTAGGTCGCTCAGGAATTTTTTCTGGAGGAGATGATTATTTTTCATTATCAGGACATGAACAAGGAAAAAAGCTTTCTTGTCACTATGAGAGAGTAAGTGTGAAGAACATACCACAGGGTAACACTTATGGTTTGGACAACATAAATAGAAGTGGGAAGAAGCAGAATGGAGAAGACAGGCTAGAACAGGGTCAGAAATGTAAAGATTTATTGCTGGTTTCAGAAGTAGACAGTAGAGATCAGGATAATAGCACAAAGTTCCCTGGAAAAACCACTGCACTTCAAAAAACATTTGGTGAAAAAGTAGGCATAAAAGCCTCATTTGAAAAAAAAGAAAAGCAAAGAAAGAGAGACAAAGTTAATGAAGAGAAATGGAGTACAACTATTATTAAGGTACCAGAGTTTTTATGCAATGCAAATTAAAGAGTTAATCTAAGAGTGATTCTAAATCAATGCAAATCAACATTTGAATCACAAAATATGTCAAGGTCAAGTGATTAAAGATTGATTGAACATAATTTAAACAATGAATATGCTAATCATGCATATCAATTACTGTACATTTTGAGATGTTTAAGAGTTTTAAGTTCTTAGAAATTAATTTTTATGTTTATTTTGTGTTAATATTTGCCATCCTTTTCTCCACCCAACTGATGCTCAGCATGTAGACTAGAAAAATGAAATCTAAGAAGATACAGTTTGTTACTGTATCTATATTTTTAGGTCTTCTTTTTCAAGCATAATACATTAGACTTTGTGTTTATGTGAGTATAAAAGATCTGATAACAAATCAACTTAAATACTTTGTTTCTGTTGGGGGCTGTTCAAAATTATAATACAGGGAAATACAGAGAGGAACTGAAGAAGCTGCCTTTGCATTAGCCTTTTAAGAAATGTCTCAGATATTGTATGAAAAATCAAGTAAAATTTTAAGTAACCCAATGGTTTGTTTGTTTGAAAATGTTGCCATCATTACCCTTCATGCCCTGTTTGTATGATCATAGGAATATAGGTGTGTGTTTTTTTTAATGTTAGCTCACATTTGGTAACTTAGCCCCACAGTAGCTCTAATGAAGACAAGGTATGTATACTTTCAACCATATTGTTACTGGTGATTACACTTCTTGCTTTTAAAGACTTTCTCTGGATCAGCCAATATATGGACACTACCAGCCAACTGGTTTTCATTAGGATTTTCCTAATTACCATGTTTACACTTGTGTGTCTACACTGCAGAACAGCTGTGCTCTTGCTCGTCCCCCAGCTGAGTCAGTGGGGGCACAGGGACTGGGGAGCGCACTGTGGAGCACAGATGTGCGGGGGTTTGGACACTGCTCTTTCTGCAGCTGCTGCATCTTGGCTCTAAGATACCTTTTCTTTTCTTGGAGGGGATTTCCAAACTTTCCTTGTGTCATTTGTGCTTGCAAGCTTAAATCCTTCTTCCAGTTCCTGCTGAACTGATTGAGAAATGGTAGGCCACTTTCTCCTTGGGAATTCTTGCACACTGTGTTTGGGTCATTGTTTGCTCTACCTATTTGTTTGGAGAGATAGCCAAAGTGAGCTGTTTGGTGTTGCTTTCTGCTAAGAGGCATCTGACTGAAGTGAGAGGCTTCAGGACTTCTTCGCTTTGTGGATGTCTTTGTCAAGGGTTTCATACTTGGCTAATGGTAACTTCCTGAAGCCTTCAAGAGAAGGTGATGGTGGTGGGAACTGCTCATCCTGCTTTCTGGACATACCATATATACATGAGTAAGTATTTTCCCTTCTGCTTTTCTAAGAGCCTAATATGTTCCATATGCTGTATTACAAAAAGTGTATTTCAACTTATCTTATTCTTTTACAGATTTTAAGGAATAAGGAAGCATCCACACGTCAGGCATATTCAGATCTAATGGTACAGCAAAATAGCACAGCTGATGAGAATAAAAAACTCATGGGAAAGGTAAAAACACTTGAGGAGATGTTGGAGAATATGAAGAAGCAAAAAATCCAAGTGGAGCAGGAGCTCCCCAAAGTGAGAGAAGCTGCAGAAAAAGAGCGGAAGAAGCAGCAGAAGGACATGGAGGAGATCTGTCTTCAGAAGACCAAGGCTGAGCAAGAGGCAAAGCGGTGTCGTAAAGATCTAGAAAGCATTAAGAGAGAGAAAGCAGATGCAGAGCAGGAGTTGGAGTGTGTAAGGCAGTTCATTTTTCAGGCAGAGACTCAAAGAAGCATACTGGAAGAAAACCTCCGTGCTTTTCGAAATCAAATAGAAGAAAGCACCTTTACCAGAAGAA